GGATGAATTTGGTAGGGTGTGCAAAAGAAGAAAATTAAAAAGTGAATACGGGAAAAAGGTAAGGTAATGAGGATAACAAAAAGATTAGGTGATGAAAGATTGGATATCAGATTGGAGGGAGAGAGTATGGAGGAGGTGAATGTATTCAGATATTTGGGAGTGACGTGTCAGCGGATGGGTCTATGAAAGTGAGGTGAATCATAGAATTGATGAGGGGAAAAGGGTGAGTGGTGCATTTTGGGGAGTCTGTGGAGACAAAGAACTTTGTCATTGGAGGCAAAGAGGGGAATGTATGAGAGTATAGTTTTACCAACGCTCTTATATGGGTGTGAAGCATGGGTGATGAATGCTGCAGCGAGGAGAAGGCTGGAGGCAGTGGGATGTCATGTCTGAGGGCAATGTGTGGTGTGGGAAAATAATGCAGAGAATTCGTAGTTTGGAAATTAGGAGAAGGTGGGGGGATTACCAAAACTGTTGTCCAGAGGGCTGAGGAAGGGTTGTTAAGGTGGTTCGGACATGTAGAGAGAATGGAGCGAAACATAGTGATTCAAAAAGTGTATCAGTTGTTGTGGAAGGAAGGCGGGGTAGGGGTCGGCCTAGGAAAGGTTGGAGGGAGGGGGTAAAAGGGGGTTTTGTGTGCGAGGGGTTGGGACTTCCAGCAGGCATGCGTGCGCGTGTTTGATAGGAGTGAATGGAGACAAATGGTTTTTAATACTTGACATGCTGTTGGAGTGTGAGCAAAGTAACATTTATGAAGGGGTTCAGGGAAACCGGCAGGCCGGACTTGAGTCCTGGAGATGGGAAGTACAGTGCCTGCACTCTGAAGGAGGGGTGTTAATGTTGCAGTTTAAAAACTGTAGTGTAAAGCACCCTTCTGGCAAGACAGTGATGGAGTGAATGATGGTGAAAGTTTTTCTTTTTTGGGCCACCCTGCCTTGGTGGGAATAGGCTAGTGTGATAATAAAAATAATAATAAAAATAATATAAACTCACTGTATTGAACACAATAACTGCACTAAAGTTATTATCATTATTGTTTACCACTTTTGTTTATTACAATAAACATGCACAAATCTTGTACAATACTAATGTTCTGTCATATATTTACATATTTACAATCACTGGACATGTTTTTAGAGCTGCTGGAGCTTGTGGAACTCCTTGAAACAAGGCACCATACACAGAGGTACCTTACATTCCTTGCGCATAAACCGAGTGTCTTTGCATCTTTGTTGAAGTCGTTTTGTCTGTGCACAGACAATGCATCTCTTTTGAGCAAATATCTTCTTAGTTGCAGGAAGTTGTATTATGAAATGATCACCTTCCCTCCTCAAATGCTTGGGTATATTCTGAAGAGTTTGAGGACCTTGTTGTATAGCAGGTGTTGTTACCTGGTATTTCATTATGAGTTGTCTGACAACAGACAAACAAAATTCACCATACGGTGGTCTGTTGCCAGTCTTCATTTGGTACATATTATATGCATTGAGCATCGAAATGTCCATGAGATGGAAGAAAAGTTTCATGTACCACTTGTAACTCTTACGAACACAATCAACAAAGCCAATCTGCATGTCACATTTGTCAACCAAGCACATGTTTTGTGTATAATCAATCACTGTCTCTGGTTTTTGAATATGTTGATTAGTCATTCTATCAACTTTGCCACTGTCTTGCATTTCGTTACGGTGAATGGTTGTCAACAATGTAACATCTCGTTTGTCATGCCACCGTAATGCCATGATGTCATTGACAGTAAACACCTGCACCTCATCACCACAAGCACCTGCGTTGAACCTGGGCATGTATTTACGATTAGAACGCACTGTGCCACACACACATCTGTCTTATTCACTCGCAAGAAATCACTGAGTAAAGGGCTTGTGTACCAGTTATCGGTATATAATGTATGCCCCTTACCAAGATAAGGTGCCAGCATGCTTCTCACTACATCACCTGAGATACCCAATAACATCCTGGTATCTTTCAATGTTATGCATCCCGTGTACAACAATATCCAATACCAGGCCACTGTCACAGTCACAGAGTACAAACAGTTTTATACCAAAGCGTTTCCTATTGCTCGGTATATACTGCTTGAACGACAGTCTACCTTTGAACAAAATCAAAGACTCGTCAATTACAAGATTCTTGAATGGATAAAAGTACATGTTGAACTTTTGTTTCAGATACATAAAAACATTTCTAATCTTGTATAACCTGTCACTTCTGTCAGGCCTGGTTTTGTCAGAGAAGTGCAACATACGTAACAGTAAGATAAACCTGTTCACTGGGATGATTTCACTGAAGACCGGGGTAGAAATTAGCCGATCTGTGGACCAGTATGCTTTTATATTATGCTTATAGACATGAGGCATAAGCATTATTGTTGCAAAAAGCAAATACATTTCTGCGACAGTCTTCTCTTTCCACCGGTGTAGTCTTGACTGTGGTGATGTGATCGTATTTGCCATGGTGTACTCAAAATACTTGTTACTTTCCCTGACAATAGTTTCCATCAAGGGCTGGTCAAAGAATAGTTCAAAGAATTCCAGTTCATTGGCCGTGGTTCCAAGGGGACAAGTAGGTAGGATTCCACTTTGAGAGTCATCAAAGTGGTGGGGCTTGGGAACAAAATTGGGATTTTGCTGCCAATCCCAGATACGGTTTGCTGGTGGATACCGGATATCATAGGCTGGTTGTGCGGGTAGTTGTGGTTGTGGTGGGCTGGTGGCTGATGCTCCGCTTTGCCCTTGAACTGAAGAGTCAGCTGTGTGGGTCCCAGCCTGGGCTGGTGAGTCACGCATGGCCGTGGCACTACCATCACCACTACCATCACCTACTGATGCCTGTGGTCTATCCATGCCAAGTGTAGCCACATCATCCTCACTTTCACTGTCTATTCCTGGTGTAGGGCCACGGGATGTACTCCGGGATGTACTCCAGGATGTACTCCGTCCCCTGGGCACTGCATAGGGAACACTACCCGAGCGCATGTGGCGGCATATATACTGATGCTTCACTGGTGAATACGTTTCCTCACTATCACTACTTGAATGATTGCCAAGAGCAATAAAATCACAATCCATGTCATTATCATCATCATTACCGAAGTCAGAGGCCTGGCCACATGAAAATAATAGTTTTCTCTTGCGATGAGGTACAACTGACCGTGACTGAGGAGTGCCCACACCAGAGGTAGAAGGTTGAGGATCGTCAGGGTTTTCTGCACTATTATCGATATCCTGGTCATTCCTTTCGGTCACTAACTGATCAAAGCCAAAGAATTAGTCTTCATTTCCACTTCCATCAGAGTCAGAACTATCAGATAGGAAGAGGAGAGTCCCAATTTTCCTTGGAGTGAGAGCTGCCTTGCGACGAGGCATGGTGAACAAAGGTAACTGAGCCGGCGTTCCCACAATGCTATGCGGGTACCTAGAATTTGTGTTTATGGCACACACGCACCACGCAGACCCGTTCTCTCACATGTAGGCCTACCAGCATTTTCGCACTAAATTTGACGCCGCTAGAATTTTGGCATAGATTTACAGTTTGGACCCTGAATGTGAAGCCGTAGATCTACGGGACGGACCCTGAAAGAGTTAATCCAAAAACACGATCGAAGTTTTTTTTCTCTCATCATGCACTGCGTGCTGCAGGAATTTTTTTATATGGTGCACACTGACCACAGACCCATTCTCTCACATGTGGGCCTAACAGCTTTCTCCTGCTTGATTTGAAGCTGCTAGAATTTTTGAGTATATATACATCAAACACGGTGGCTCGTAAGATATATACAACCAAAACAATCAAAGGGTTAAGGGGGGCTAGTATATTAGTCCATATATGGAGTTGAGGCCCATGATCTACCACATCTCTTGGGGATAGCCTTAGGGACAATACCAGACCTTATTCATTGCTATGTAAATTGACACTTCACAGGTGAATAATTATCATCACTATCAGTTGACTGCTCATCAATTACTAGAAAATCAGAAACCACTGTCATCCTACTCACATCTGTACCCAAACCACTGTGGAATACTAGTACAGCCTCTCCTCATTTAACGATGAAGTTCCATTCCTAAGACCACATCAGTAAACGAATTCATCACTGAGGAGCATACTACATAATGGTAGTGGGTTTGTGTCAGCCATCTTTGATATTGTTTTAATGTCACCTTTGCACTATTTATAACATTTATGGTATATTTTTAAATGTTTTTACAGTAGTTTACTGTATATTGTAATAAACAGAATAGAGAAAATCAGCTCTAATATGCATTATTTAGGTATGCATACTGGTCAGAGAGCCCACTGTAAGTCTTAAGTCATCAGTAAACAAGTACATCGCTAAGTGAGGAGAGGCTGTATTTGCTTGTGGGGTTGGACATGTTATGGACACACTGAGGATTGAGGTAAATGGTTGTGGGTCAATGAGGCTTTCAGCACTATTTGGCATTTCTACTATCATTTTTAGTCACTTTGTCCTCAAACCCGTAGAATTCCTTTTCAGAATTTATTGTACATCCTCATAGCTGGAGCTGTCACTAAGGAAGAGAAGGTGCTTAATTCACTGGGAAGTGAGTGCATACTGTATTGTGTCAGCTGTATGGTGGACAGTGGTAAATGAAGATTCACTGTGGAGATCCTGACTTTTTGTATATCTCATACACCTGATTGTGTCAACCCATTTTCTTATGCCTAGGCCTACCAGACCTCTCATGTCAAATTTGCAGCTTGAGTTTATGCACAGATTATACAAGAGATATTGGCTTCAGTAATATTGATTTACATAGGAGACGGTGATACAAGGGTGAAGAAACAGTGATCTAAAATTTTAATGAGAAAGCTTGATCTGAATAATTATATCTGTAACCAAAAATATTGAGAGGGTTTTTCTTTTTTTTTACTTTTTTACTCTATTTTGTATTTTTAAGATTATAGTTATATCAGGAGTGTGTTAAATATCCATCTGCAGCTTTTTTTTTTTTTTTTAGTGTGAAAAGCTCAACCGTCAACGTCGCAGCCTAATGGGAATGCTTGCATCTGTTCATGGAAAAATGGACAATGTTGACCAGTCTATAAGTCAAGCCAGGTAAGTAACAAAATAGAACTGTCTAAGAAACTAGATCATTATTAAATATTAATGTAAACATTCCAGTTTTATTTATTTATTTATTTATTTAGTAATTTGAGCATACATACAGAGGTACAAAAAAATACAGGTAAGAGCAGCATGCCAAAGCCACTTGTATGCATAGCATTACGGGCTGGCTTAAAATTAACTTAAGATTAACTAAGCAATGATGTAATCAGTGATAAAACATTATTGTAAACAGATAACAATAAAGCACAAATGAGTATTACAAAGACAGGTCATATGGTTGCATGCATTGCTGTACATTCAGTCGAATGGAGTATTCTGTTAGGTAGTGTATTTAAAAAATAACAAAGTTAGATTGGGTCTTAGGTTTAACATTTATGTGATATAATTGTGAGAAACATTTAAGATATACAATTTATAGGTTCAGTTATTCAGTATTTATTTGGTTTTGGGTGAGTAAGTGATCTTTGAGAAGAGACTTGAATTTATAAACAGGTAGTGTTTCTTTTATATTTACAGGTAATGAATTCCAGATTTTAGGGCCTTTTATGTGCATTGAGTTTTTGCATAGCGCGAGATGGACACGAGGAACATCAAAGAGTGATCTGTGCCTTGTGTTATGGTCATGTGTTCTGTTGAGGTTGGCAAGGAGATGTTTGAGGGGAGGGTTTAACATCAGAGTTAAGTGTTCTATGAAAGTAATAGGTGCAGTAAAAAGGGTATGGATGTTTTGTAGGGTGAGTAAGTTTAGTGTTTTAAATATTGGTGGAGTGTGCTGCCTGTAGTGGGAGTTTACCCATTCTGATTTGCACCCCTTTTGTTGGGTAATTAGTGGTCTGAGAGGGGTTTTTTGTTGTTGAGCCCCATGCAAAAATTCCATAGGTGAGATAGGGGTAAAAAAGGGGAGTGATATAGGGCCAGGAGGGCGGGACTGGGAACATAGTACCGTATCTTCGATAGTATCCCTACGGTCTTGGAAATTTTCTTAGAAATTTGTTGTATATGTGTATGAAATTTGAGTCTATTATCAAGGTGGATTCCTAAGAATTTTCCCTCTGTTAGCTTTGTGATAGGTGATCCGTTTATCATTATGTTAAGAGGGACATCTGTAGCTCTGTTACCAAACTGAATGAAGTAGGTTTTGTCAATGTTTAGTGTAAGTTTGTTAGTCCTCATCCAGGTAGATATTTTCTGTAATTCGGTATTTACAGTATTGGCTAGCGTGACTGGGCTCGGGTGAGAGAAGACGTATGTAGTGTCATCTGCAAATAGTGTGGGTTTGAGTAATTGAGGTAGATTTTAAAGTTATTACAGATTTTCTCTTGCTTTGTGGATTCCCTATATATGAATTCACTTACATGCATCAGCCTTATTCTACCAGGAATTTACATGCAGCAAAAATTTGCTTTTATGCAATTGGAACAGGTCTGTGTTTTTTCACTCATGTGCAATCGCCCAAGCATAGCACCATTTTGATTTTTTACCAGTACAGTGGAACCTCGGTTTTCATCATTAATTCATTCCAGAAAGTCTGACGTAAACCGAATTCGATGAAATCTGAAGCAGTATTTCCCATGAGAAAAAATGTAAATCCAGTTAATCCGTTCCAGACACCCAAAAGTATTAACAAAAAATACATTTTATAGAGAATAACTACAGTTTTACATACAGAAAACAATGAGAATTAAATATAAAGGACTAATGAAATGAATAAATGAACATTTAATATCACTTTTACTTTTATTGAAGACTTTTGTTGGTGTATGGAAGACGGCGAGGAGGGGAGAGGGAGGGGAGGTTATCTCTACCACCATCACTACCACCCTCTACCACCATCACTACCACCCTCTACCACCATCACTACCACCCTCTACCACCATCACTACCACCCTCTACCACCATCACTACCACCCTCTACCACCATCACTACCACCCTCTACCACCATCACTACCACCCTCTGCCACAATCACTACCACCCTCTACTGACGAGAAACAAAGCCAGACTAACTCAGAACGTGTGGAATGCTTTGTGTGGATGCGAGCGGACACATTCGGTACTGCAGACCACTGTCAGCTTGACAAAAACAGAAGCGATGAACAAAAATTGGGATAAAATTTTGACGAAAAATGTCATCAAAAACTGAATTTGATGAAAACCAGGGCAAACGAAAACAGAGATTCCACTGTACAGTGGAACCTCTACTTGAGAGTGCATCCATGTGTGAGTTTTTCCAAATAGAGCAGTTGATGGGTTGATTTTTTGCTTCCATACGCGAGCAAAATTTCCATAAGCGAGCAGACCTCAAGGAAGGCTCCTTGACGTTGGTGAGGGGCTCTTGCTCTTGATCTAGGGAATTGTATCTCATTTGTTTGTTGGAGTATCTTATTGAAACTTGGGCGATGTGTGATGGAAAGATGCTTCTTAACGTACACCAAAAAATGAAAGAAATCAGAGCACAAATAATGGAGTTCACTTCTCAGCAATTAGCCACCCCTTAGCGGTATTTTCGTATGGTTTTTATGGTTCTAGTCTCGTTTTTTTTGTCTCATTTGATAGAATGGAAGATATGTTACAGAAATAGATAGGATTTTGATTGCTTTCACGATGAAAAGTACCTTGAAATTGAGCTCAACGAGGGAGAAATGCTCGTTTGCTTGACTATGTGCAAGAGTAAAAAATGACGTCACTGTCCATTCCAATATGCAGTCATAAGTGGGTTGACATTATTTATACAATTATTGCAATAAGGCATAACAGTAAATCTTATATTTTTTGTGTGAATAAAAATTACAAATTATAATAGTAATAATAATAATAATATGTACTGTATAATAATAATAATACATATAATAATAGTATAATAATATAATACAATAATAATAATAATACATATAATAATAATGCATATATAATAATAATGTACTACATAATAATAATTATAATAATAGACAGCTTCAAAAGGCCATCACTAGATGGCAGTGTTTACCACAACAAAGAGGGAGTGGTTGTGGCTGCCTCCACCTGTTACATAATGATATATTTTATTCATTCTAGAGTATATATCAGGTTTCTATGTTATTTATATTGTTTGTTATGTCATAGATGAACTGTGATAGATAAATAACCTGTATAGATGATTTTGTCCGGTCTCCAGACAAATTGTTGTCCACCGCCGACACCGCCCATACCACAACATGAATTACATATTTTATTCATTTTAGAGTATATATCAGTGTCTATGTTATTTATATTACTTATTATGTCATATTAGATAAAGTGAGATAGATAAATAAGCCGTAAAGTTGATATTAGTGAAATTATTGAAGTACAGAATTCCACTGGAACGGATTAATTGCATTTCAGTTAATTTAAATTAGAAAAATCGACTCTGCAAACGAGCAAATCCAGTTGTGAGCAAGGTCATGGAACGGATTAAACTCGCAAGTAGAGCTTCCACTGTATATTAAATACAGGTCCTCCATCACAAATCCGGCACCATTGGGACCTGTAGTGTGCCGGATTACACAGTGGTTAGGTTAGAATACACTTAATAAAATTAACCAACTTGACTTGCACAAAGTTCATTGAACATCGGCAAAAATCAAACATTTCCGCTACTTTGAGCTCAATTTCAAGGTATTTTTTGTCATGAAAGCAGTCAAAATCATGTCTATTTCTGTAATATTTCTTCCATTCTATCAAATGAGACCAAAAAACGAGAATACAACCATAAAAATCATACAAAAATATACCACAAAGAGGCAGCTAATGGCTGAGAAGTGAACTCCCTTATTTATCGTCCGTCTTTTTTATTTTTGGTGTACATTGTAAAGGTTTACTCAGCCCTGTAACAACTTCAGACAGTATTACCAAGGCTGGCTGGCTCCTCAGGAAAATTAATGAATAGAAAAAGAAATAATAATTCACAAAGATAAACACTTTATTATTTATTAATGCAAAGATAAAACAGTGAAACATGAAGGTGTATCCTATTTGAAAGAAAAATGAAAAATGAAATGAAAAAATGACATTTGAATTCAACGCTAATATCTACAGTTATGCTGGGGTGTCTGGTGGAGGTTGACACCGTCTTGTAGAAATTGTAGCCGTTACTGATGATGTGGGGGGGGGGGGTCACAGGTGTTGGTGACAACCCAACGGCTAGTTCTTCACAGAGTCTATAGCCTTGAATAGTCAGTCCAGATGACAGGAAAGCAGGTTCTTTACCACTACAAAGATGAGGGGTTGTTGTCTGCTGTCGCCTACAGTTAATCAGGTAGGTAGATCCAAAAAGTGATGTCTTCGGACTTTTGCAAAAGTCCTTCTCCTTCAATACTTCTTGTTGGTTGGCAGGTCATTCCAAGCTGGAAAGACAGACAGGTTACCCACTGCTTAAGAAATCACTCTCCATGATAAGTACAATACCTAAAAGACGTGGTGATTATCAAAACATCTAACATGGAGATCAAGGCTGAAAGAACTAAGTTTATTATTGGTCAAAAGTGAAGCTTTCAACCAATAAGTCCACTAGAATAGGAGCAGGCTTTTACTTACAGTTGTGCTGGGAGCTGTGAGTCGAGTGATTACTGTTTGGCCGGAGCCCCACACGTCACCTTTCGGGGTGGGGAGAAAGGGGGGGTGAGAGGATAGCGGGAGCTAGACTGACTGACCCTACCTTAACAAGCAGCCGGCAATCAAACTATCGTTACCATATACAGTGGACCCTCGACCAGCGATATTAATCCGTTCCTGAGAGCTCATCGTTAATCGAAATTATCGTTAGTCGAGTTAATTTTCCCCATAAGAAATAATGGAAATCAAATTAATCCGTGCAAGACACCCAAAAGTATTGAAAAAAAAATTTTACCACATGAAATATTAATTTTAATACACACAAACTGAAGAAGACATGCACAGTTACACGACACTTACCTTTATTGAAGATCTGGTGATGATTGATGGGATGGGAGGAGGGGAGAGTGTTGATGG